AAAAGCGTCAAAATAGACGTAAACCACAAAAACAAAGGAACATTCCTACTTCATAGAGATTAAAATCCACAGTACTGGAAGATCACTGGCTTATCGAAGAAATTAAGGAAGAAATTTAAAAAAATACCTCGAGATGAATGACAATGAGGACACAAACCTCCAGAACGTATGGGACATTACAAAAGCAGTTATAAGAGGAAAATATATAGCAATAAAGAAACATATCAAGAAACAAGAAAAACCTCAAAAAAATAGCCTAATATCCCACCTTAAATAACCAGGAAAAAAACACCAAAAAGCCCAAAGCCAGAAGAAGAAAGGAAATAATAAAAATCAAAACAAATAAATGAAATGGAAGTTAAGAAAACAATTCAAAAGATCAATGAAACCAAAAGATGGTTCTTTGAAAAAATAAACCAAAAAAAAGGAGGGAAGGGGAAAAAACAATAGGATCAACACATCAGACACAGCAGAAATCAAAAGAATAGTAAGTTCAACAATATAGAAGACATGGACTAATTCCTACAACTTTACAATCACCCATGGCTCAACAGAGAAGAAATAGAACACCTGAACAGGCCAATTACATGCAGTGAAATTCATACAGTAATAAAAATCTCTCCCCCAAAACAAAAGCCCAAGACCAGACGGCTTTATAACTGAATTTTACCAAACATTCAGAAATGAACTAGTGCCTGTCATATACAAACTTCTCCAAAAAATTGAGAAAGAATACTACCAACCACATTTTATGAAGCCAACATCACATTAATAACAAGACCAAATAAGGACAACGCAAAAAAGAAAACTACAGGCTAGTCTCTCTAATGAACACTGATGCAAAGATCCTAAATAAAATCCTAGCCAATATAATCCAACAATACATCAAAAAGATAATCCAAAATGACCAAGTGGGGTTTATCTCAGGGGCACAATGATGGTTCAACATTTGAAAATCAAATACTGTAATCCAACACATCAACAAAAAGAAAAACATATCAATAGATAAAAAGAAAGCATTTGACAAAGTCCAGCATCCATTCATGATAATTCTTGAAATTTTCTGAATAGAAGGAACATACCTTAACAAAATAAAGGTCATATATGACATACCCATAGGCATGTCATTCTCAATGATGAAAAGCAGAAAATCTTTCCCTTAAGGTCATGAACAATACAAGGATGTCCACTCTCACCACTGCTTTTCAATATAATATTGGAAGTCCTAGCAGAGCAATAAGACAAGAAAAAGGCAGACAAAGAATTCAAACAGGGAAAGAAGAAAGAAAACTATCACTGTTTGCAGATGACATGATAACATACATAGAGAATCCCAAAAACTCCACAGCAAAACTGATCAGCAGGATACAAAAATCAACACACAAAAACCAATAGCCTCCCTATAAACAATCACTCAGAAGAAAAAAAATCAAGAAAATCACCCCCTTTATAACTGAAACAAAAAAGATCAAATACTTGGGTATAAATCTAACAAAAGAGTTGAAAGAACTCTATAAAGAAAATTATTAAACATTGTTAAAAGAAATACAAGAAGAAACAAAGAAATGGAAAGAGATCCCATATTCATGGATTGGAAGAATTAACATCATTAAAATAGCCATCCTACCAAAAGCAATGTATAGATTCAATGCTATTCCTATAAAAATTTCAATCACTTTTTTCAAAGACATAGAAAAAATACTGTTGAAATTCACATGGAGCCACCAAAAACATTGACTAGGCAAAGCTCTTCTAAATAAGAAAGATGGGATGGAGGTATCACACTCCCAGACTTCAAACTATATTACAAAGACATAATAATTTAAACTGCATGGTACTGGAACAAGAACAGACATACAGATCAATGGAAACAAACAGAAACCCCAGACATAAATCCACATCTTTATGGACAGCTAATCTTTGAACAAAAGAGCAAAGAATATGCAATGGAACAAAGAAAGTTTGTTCAACAAATGGTGCTGGGAAAGCTGGGCTGCTATGTCCAAAAAAAAAAAAAATGAAGCTAGGTTATTACCTCACACCATACACAAAACCCAACTCAAAATGGATTAAAGACTTAGACATAAGACTTAAAACCATAAAATATATACAAGAAAATACTGATGAAACACTACACAAGATACACCTCAGTAACATCACCCAAAGCAAAGATAGTGAAATAAAAGATAAACAGCTGAGACTACATCAAATTGAAGAGCCTCTGTACAACAGAGATACTACATAAAACAAAAAGACACCCCACTGACTGGGAGAAAATTTTCATACATAATACAAATGATAAAGGACTAATCACGAAGATATACAAAAAGCTGATGAAACTCAACAAATATAAAGTAAACAACCCCATCAAAAAATGGGCAGAAAAGCTACAAAGACACTCTTCAAAGAGGAAATGGAGACAGCCAACAGGCTTATGAAAAAATGTTTAGCATCACTTGTAATAAGGGAGATGTAAAACAAAACCACAAAGAGATACCACATCATACCACTGAGAATGGCACATATTAAAAAAAAACTGGGGTCCTCCCTGGTGGCGCAGCGGGTTAAAGCACAGCACTGAGAATCTAAAGCCGCTTCCGCATGAGTTCGATTCCCGCCTGCCCCGGAG